AGGGCCTTCTCTAAGAGGTCAACACTGAGAGTGGTGGGACAGACTGAGAGGAAGTGGTCCCTGACTACACGAAGGGAGTCAGGGAGGCGGGTGACTATATAATAGAGAGTGATGTACATGGGGGGGGGGGTGCTTGGCGCAGAACTCAGTAGGAAGCGCGGCGCGGTAGCGAGTGTCACTAGTGCGGAGGTGCGTAATGAGGTCCGGGACTGTGGGAAAGGCAGCAAGGTCAAAGAAGAGGTACGGTAGCATGAGGCGGCTCAGTGCAGTAGTGGCAGGGGAAGAGTAGCGCGCAACTACAAGCGTTGTACAAGGTCTGAGCACTCTTGTACTGACTAAAGTGCGCGCGCTCAGTGGTAGGCAGGTGGCGACGCACAGCAAGACGTGCAGCAGCGTCGCGCGTGGCCCACTGGGAGCGAACAGTGGGGTCAGCATCAGCAGCAGGGGTAGGAGAGGCGCCAGAGGTGAGGTCAAAGAGAGAGAGACCGTCTGCCCTATCGCACTGTAAGAACAACTGCAGGTCGTCGACCCAGACCTCAAAGTCAATGGCTCAACCCTCAGCGTCAAATGCAAGGACACTAGGGGTAGCCATGACAACAGTAGACTAGCAGTACCAACTGTAAGACAGGGGCAGTGTAGTGACAGAAGCGCTGCTCTCACCAGACAGGGCGGTTCGGGCAGCTTAGTAGCACAGCAACACGGCAACACAGCTGTTCGGACGGCTCAGTAGCAACTGCGGCTCCGCGGCACCAGCGGCTCGGCTCCTCAGGCGGCTCGGGCGGCTCGGGCGGGTTGGGCGGCTCGGGCGGTTCGGCTCCTCAGCGGCTCAGGCGGCTCGGGCGGCTCGGGCAGGTCGAGCGGCTCGGGCTGCTTGGGCGGCTCGGCTCCTCAGCGGCTCAGGCGGCTCGGGCGGCTCGGGCGGCTCGGGCGGCTCGGGCGGCTCGGGCGGCGCGGGCGGTGTAGGGCGGTAGGGCCGCTGGTAGGGCGGCGGGGCCGCAAGGTAGGTGGCGGGGCCGTAGTGGGAGGGGCGGCGGGGCCGGAGTGAAGGGCGGCGGGGCCGCTGTGAAGGGCGGCGGGGCCGCTGAGAAGGGCGGCGGGGCCGCAATGAGAGAGGCGGCGGGGCCGAAGAGAAGGGCGGCGGGGCCGCTGAGAAGGGCGGCGGGGCCGAAGCGAGAGAGGCGGCGGGGCCACAGCGAAGGGCGGCGGGGCCGCTGAGACGGGCGGCGGGGCTGCAACGAAGGGCGGTGGGGCCTTAGTGTGAGGCGGCGGGGCCGCAGGGAAGGGCGGCGGGGCTGCAATGTGAGGCGGCAGGGCCTCAGCGAAGGGCGGCGTGGCCGCAGCGAAGGGCGGCGGGGCCGCTGAGACGGGCGGCGGGGCCGCAGCGAAGGGCGGCGGGGCCGCTGAGAAGGGCGGCGGAGCCGCAGCGAGAGAGGTGGCGGGGCCGCAGCAAAGGGCGGCGGAGCCGCTGAGACGGGCGGCGGGGCCGCTGTGAAGGGCGGCGGGGCCGCAGTGAAGGGCGGCGGAGCCGCAGTGAAGTGCTGCGGGGCCGCAGCGAAGGGCGGCGGAGCCGCAGCGAAGGGGGGCGGGGCCGCAGCGAAGGGCGGTGGGGCCGAATCGACGGGCTGCGGGGCCGCTAGGGCGGCTCGACGAAGTGAGAGCCCGGAGCGCGACTCGGGCTGAGCGCGCTTCGGGCAGGAAAAAAAAACTCGATGTGGTGGGCCCTAGTCACAGTTCCCACGGGGGAACTTGCTCGATACCATGAGGAAATTATAACGAGAATGAGGAATGACTATGGAATGAAAGTGATACAAATATGCAACCCTAGAAATGTGTACCCCATATGGGATACCCCACTAAAGCCTAGACAACATTATAATTTGACAGTGTGTCGTAGTAGTGACATAGATTGGATGTATCAAATCAGTTCAGCACGTGAATATGTATTGTGTCATTGCTATGAATCTTTGCGTTTTGTCGTACAATTATGCATCTTATTCCCATTGTTCCATATTTGTCTTGCTTGTTTCTTTCTGTTGCTGATGCTTTCCTAACAGGCCTTGTTGTTTTCTTCAGGAACTGAAGGTTAATCTGGATGGTGCAAAGATACAGATTGTTCTGTGTAGGGTTATATGTATATTGCTAATGTATAATTTTGCTCCTAGGTTTTTTTTCTAAACAGTTGATGCATTGAGCGTTTTTAGTTTGTGTGAATGTGTGGGAATATGTGTATGTGTTTGTATGTGTCTATGTGCGTGTGTGTATTCGTTATGTTGTGTGCGCATGTGCTTTCATTCATGCTTCCATTGCATTAATAACACATGTCTGTGTGTTTTAAAAAAATGGATCAAACTATCATTTCCGAGAAGGTTCTTTGCGCACTCAGTGAGTGTGTCCATTCGAATTGGATTTGATAGAGTTGACCTTTTTTTAGATTGCACAGATTGTGTTGTTTCATGTAACAGCTGGTTGATTCAGGAACTATGCTATTGAGCTCCCCCCCATGCTAGACAGGGGATGCGGTAGCATAGGGTCTGGATCAATTAACTGTGACGCATTTTCATCATGCTATGCATTCATTTCATTACCACAGTCGTATATGCAGCATAATTATGCATTCTTCATTCAATATTTAGTTCATCATATCATCATTATGCTTCATCTATGCATAACATCATCCGGCATATGCATTACGGAATTAACCGTCACATGTGTCATAGTACACATAATTTCGGCAAAGGCGAACCAAGAAATGAGAAGGAATTTGGTACGGCACGTGCTAAATACGACTGTCAAGTCACTTAGTTACCGACACTACGGTAGATTTTTTTCATCCTTATTTTTTCAATGCACAGAGGATGAAAAAAAAAATTGTACATAACGATCGTAATAGGTTGCTTCGCAACCCAAAAAAAAAGGAGAAGCTGTGTATTGCTATATCCTGCCCAGCTAGATGGCATCTCAGTGTGGTACATAATGAAATATGGGAGAACTAAAAAATTCAGTTCTCTATGCATATGGTTTTCGAAAGCCAACATGTCAATGCGTAGACATTGGTGTCAAATGTCATTATCTGTTATAGGTTGTGGTGAGGTGCTCCTTGGTGAGTACAACTCAGTTAGGGTTTCACATTTGTATTACCTTGCTTTCCTAGTCTCACCATTCCGCTACGCATCACTCTTGAGATGGTATCATGGCAAAGATCTCGGGTTCGAACCCCCATGCGTGCACATGCTGGCGGTGACGTTGTAGGGCATCCCTGTGCAAGGGGATGTCTAAAAACCAACACTGGGGATGCCCGATTGATCATAGGGAAGGGTTAGAGGATCGCTGGCCTGTTGGGTTATGGCTGCACTGACCCGCTACTTAACAAGCCCTACTACACCCGGTACCCCTGTCGAGGTCTTCCGGTTCCCCCTCCCCCCCTCTTCCTCGCACCCTCTCTCCCCCCTGCTTCCGCTCCTCCGGTACCCCCACCCCCCTCTGGTCCTCCCCCGTCAGGTGTGTCTCACGCTACCCCTCTACCCTCGGTCGCGCGTTAGGTAGCGTCTCCCTCCCCGCATTCCTCACAGTCTTCTCAGCAGCCTTCGGCACTTCCGCGACAGGTTACTGTGGACTCGGTTGGTGTTGGAGCTGGAGGTGCAGCCACTGGCGGTACTCGGTCTGGGGATGCTCGTTCGAGGGGTGCTGAAGCTGGAGGTGCTGGAGCAGGTGGCACTAGCTCTGGGGGTGCTGGAGCTGGAGGTGCTGGCACATGAGGTGCTAGTTCTGGGGGTGCTGGTGCTGGAGGTATTGGTACTGGAGGTACTAGTTCTGGGGGTGCTGGAGCTGGAGGTGCTGACACTGGCGTTGCTAGTTCCGCTACTCTTCGGGTGTTACTGCACGTAGCAGCACAACGAGACTACGAGCTGCACTCCCTTGACTTCTCCACTGCGTTTCTCCGGGGTTGTCTACACGAGGAGATCTGGCTGCGCCCTCTTCCTAGCTTCACTAACACCTTCCCACCTGGGACCTAGTGGAGCCTGAGGCGGCCAGTCTACGGTTTCCGCCAGTCGCCTTGTGAGTGGCACGACACTCTTCGCTCCACGCTTCGTGACCTTGTGTTTCATCCTTCCTCTGCCGACCCGTCGCTGTTTCTTTGCACTGGTTCCACTCCTTTCTTTATACTAGTGTACGTCGACGACTTGGTCTTTGCTACAGCAGACAGGGCAGCTCTGACTGAGGTGAAATCCGAACTGCAGAAGAGACACAAGTGCACAGACCTCGGTGAATTGCAGCGCTACCTTAGCCTGCAGATCACCAGGGACAGGGCATCACTCTTGAGAATTGGTACAACAATGAGTGCTATCATAGCTTAATGGAGAAAACTACTGCAGCAAGTTCTGTCATGTAATGTTAATTATGGAGTCGCAAATCACAAATACTCACATGACTGCTCATAAAGTACGGCTAGGCAAAATGCGAATCGTGCCCTTGAACTGAATGGATCTTCCAATATGTTCAGTTTTCAGAAATTGCCTGATTTTAAGCCCTTTTTGTCTACTGAATTGGATTGAGCTACTCCCCTCAGCTCCGCTCTCTTCCATCCCCCTCCCTCCCTCGCTTCCCTCCCCTCTTCTTCCCAACTCTTTCATAAGGAAATACTGGGCCACCTCAAACCTGAACATGTAGCAGCAAGGTGTGCACCTTGTGCATGTCATCCACCACAATCAGCTACAATTATGACCCACGATCGGCTACGATCAAAATGCATTAGTTCAGAGTAGATTATGAATACGGCTACCCCTGAATTAGAGACGCCAGAAACACTGTCTTACTGCTTTTCACTCTGTTGCATCCTCACTTGCTCATTCAACTTTAGCTAGCCCTTGCACATTGAGTCGCAACCCATTTTCCCTCCACGCTGACTGGATATCTGTTTTCTCCTTTTCTGCAAGTCCTTGAGCTCACCCTACTCCGCTTCCTCCTCTTCCTCCCTATTTTTCCTTCCTTTCTTCTTCCTGTTATTCCTCCTCTTCCTCCCCTTCCTCCTGCTCCTCACCCTCCTCGTCTTCCTCTTCTTCCTCCTCTTCGTCCTCCTCTTCCTCCTCCTCTTCTTCCTCTTCCTCCTCTTCCTCCTCTTCCTCCTCTTCCTCCTCTTCCTCCTCCTCCTCCTCCTCCTCCTCCTCCTCCTCCTCCTCCTCCTCCTCCTCCTCCTCCTCCTCCTCCTCCTCCTCCTCCTCCTCCTCCTCCTCCTCCTCCTCCTCCTCCTCCTCCTCCCCCTCCCCCACCCCCTCCATCTCCTCCCCCACCCCCTCAATCTCCAACCCATTCCCCACCCCCACTCCTCCCTCCTCTCTCTCAAAATCCTCCTCTAACTCATACTCCATCTCATCTTCTCCCTCCTCTCCCTCCTCCTCCTCCCCCTCCTCTCCCCACAGTCTATGCCCCAGGAACATAACCATCCTCTGCAAAACCTCAACCTCCATCTCCCTATGCGCTAGCCTCCTTCTCAACTCCCCCAAATCAGCACCATCACGCATCCTTCCATCAACCTGCCCTTGAGCCAACTTTCCCTGCTGCTGCCGCCGCTGCTGCTGCTGCTGCTGCTGCTGCTGTTGCAGAAGCTCCTGTTTCCTCTGCAGCCGCAAGATCAGCTCTCTAATCGCCCGCTCCATCCCCTCCTCTCCAACCTGCACCTCCACCTCCCCTTCCTTCCCTCCCCCACCCTCCCCTCTCGCCCTCTCCACTGCAGCCACCGCATCATAATAACTGCTTCTTAAAAGACTCTCAACTAAGCACTCGTCGGTCTCATCCATAGCAAGCATCTGCTTCCACTTGGCCTTCATGTCCGCTCTCGCCTTCGCCATAATCTCATCTCTCACCCGCGTCTGCTCCAACTGCCTCTCCTCCTGCCCTGCCTCCAGCTGCTTCACCTCCTCCTCCTCCTCCTCCTCCTCCTCCTCCTCCCCATCCTTCTCTTCCCTCCCTACTAGCACATCCCATACATCATCAGCATCCTCACACACAAGTGTCAGTTGATCCCCCATGGCTCTGAGCATCTTCGCCCCAACCCCGTGGATCATGCGGTTACCATCGCCGCCACACGCCACCACCACCTCTGTCGCAGGCCGGTAGACAGGGATACCGCTGTTACCACCTGCGCCTCTGGGGTATTCGATATAATAGATGTGCTTCTGCAGGTGCTCTGGTACTGGAATCTTCTTTTTCCACCGCCCCCAGGGGTCCTGATAAGCAGCAAGGGGCAAGAGCAGGCACAAGAAAGAAATGCATTACTGCTGGTACTGCTGCTACTGCCTGTGCCCCTGGGGTATTCAATACAATAGATGTGCTTTTGCAGGTGCTCTGGTACTGGAATCCTCTTCTTCCACCGCCCCCAGGGGTCCTTGGAATGAGGGGAGGGAGGGAAAACAGTAAAGACGGCGAAGGTGCAAGTCAGCTTCTTGCTTACCACTTCACTTTCTCCTCCAGCAAAAAGTATCGTGACTCCCCAAACGTTTTAAGGCACCTCAAAAGTAGTCAGCTAAGCGTATTGCCTCATATTTCTTTCTCCAGCATAGGGTCAAACGGTGTGAGAGGAACCAAGATAAAGGATTACGTGTATATTTTATCCACTTGGACTTGCTTACCGCTTCAATCTCCCCTGGAAGAGAGTGGAAGAGAGCGAGAGCGGACGAAGGGAAGGGGTAGTGCACACGAGCGAAGCAACCATCACCTCTGCCGCTGGGTCGAGGTTTCTGGGAGAGAGGAGAGGGGGAGTGGAGAGGAGTGGGAGGAGAAAAAAGAGGGTGAGTTTGCACGAGGGGAAGAGAGGACCGGGATGGGGAGTGCAGGAGGGGAAGGGTTAGTGCACACGAGCGAAGCAGCCATCACCCCTGCCTTTGAGTCGAGGTTTTTTATGGAGAGAAAGGAGGGGGAGAGGAGAAGGGAATAAGGCCAAGGCAGGGTGAAAGTGGAGGATGGGAAGCGGCAGTGCACGCGAGCGAAGCAGCCATCACCCCTGTGGTTGGGTCAGGATTTCTGGGGTAGAAAAGAGAGAGGGAAGAGCAGTCGGGGAGAGGAGTGGTAGGTGAAGAAAAAGCGTGAGTTTGCACAAGGGGAAGAGTCAAAAAGGGAAAGGAGCAGAGCTGAGGAAAACCCAGAAGAGGAAGGGCAAGTATACATGGGATAACCAAGACAAGGCTCATGAGGGGAGAACCCAGAAGAGGAGGAGAGGGGACATAAGAGAATGGGATCACCTCTGAGGCGCCTCTAAATCTGTTTAAAAATGACATCTCTTTTCTGATGCGCCTCCGATTCGAGAATTCTCAAAATTGACAGTTCAGAGAATGAGAGCACTTTCTGAGGCGCCTCAAATTTGTTCAAAGGATGAGGTTACCCGTGACCAAGTGGTGGATGTTGGATGGATGACTTGACCCAACCCAACCATCATTGGGATATCTTCCAATGAGCAGCACCATCACTCTCCCACCATCCCGTCAGACCATCACATCACCACATACCAGCACCCATGCAATCATGTCATCTTTCATCGTCCTTCTGCCCCATAACCCAAGTACTCAGACCCCCATGCCCCAATGCCCTCATGCTATGTCCCTACAATATCCCATCGTCCCATCCATCATGCTATCACACCACCTACCGTCACCCATGGCATCATGTCATCCTCATCCTTCTGCTGCCCGAAAACTTATATTATTATTTCGCGTGGTCTCATGCTCTCATACCCTCATGCCTCATGCCATCGCCTCACCACCTACCGTCACCCATGGCATCATGTCATCTTCGTCCTTCTGCTGCCCCAGAATCCAAGTACTCATACCCCCATGCCCCCCTATGCCCTCATGTCCCCAACCCTCATGTCTCTGCCATGCAACTACAACATCCCATCATCAAAACCTACCGTCACCCATGGCATCATGCCATCACCCTCATCCCTCAGCTGCCCCGGAACTCAAGTACCCATGCCCTCATGCCCCGCTATGCCCTCATGCCATCATGCCATGCAACTACAATATCCCATCACATCACCACCTACCGTCACCCATGGCATCATGCCATCATCCTCATCCTTCTGCTGCCCCAAAACCCAGATTAGTATTGTTCACGCCCGCGTGCCCCCACACACCATGCCACTACATTTTATCCCATCAATCCATCATCACAACCTACCATCAGTCACCCATGGCATCATGTCATCTTCATCCTTCTGCTGCCCCGGAAGGAACCCAAGTACTCATACCCCCATGGCCCCCTATGCCCCCCATCGCATCACCACCTACCGGCACCCATCGCCACCTACCGTAACCCATGGCATCATGTCATCCTCATCCTTCTGCTGCCCCGGAACCCAGATTCTTGTCTCATCCTCCTCCTCATTCTCCTTTTCTTTCTCCCCTTCCTCGTCCCCTTTTTTCTTCCCCTCCCCCTCTCTCTCCCCCTTTTTCCCCTTCTTGACCATCTTCCCTTTCTTCCCCTTCTTTCCCTTCCCTTCCCCCTCCTCCGGCCCCTCCTGCCCCTCGCTTGTCCCCTTCTCTTCCTCCTCCCCTCTCTTCGCTTCCATCCTCCTCCTCTCGTAATGCGCCAGCAAGGCAAGGATCATCTCTGGAGTAGTGCCACGTGGCAGGCTGTCAACGGTCAGTTCCCTCATCAGATAGTTTCCAACCTAGCAGGGATCGAGAGAGTGGAGTGAGAGGATTGAGAGGGAGTGAGAATGGGTGAGTAGGGGTGAGAATGGGTGAGTAGGGGTGAAAAGGGCGAGAGAAGGGTGAGAGTGGAGTGAGAGAAGGTGAGATGGAGTGGAGTGGCAATGGTCAGCTCGTGCATCAGATAGTTGCCAACCTAGCAGGGAGAGAGGGTGAAGTGCAACGAGTGAGAGGATTGAGAGGGAGTGAGAATGGGTGAGAACGGGTGGGAAGGGGTGAGAGGCGGTGAGATGGAGTGGAGTGGCAATGGTCAGCTCCCGCATCAACTACTTGCCAACCTAGCAGCGAGAGAGGGTGGAGTAGGGAGGGGAGTGGGTGAGAGGGAGGGGAGTGAAAGGAGAGAGCCAAGAGGAGTGAGATGGAGTGAGTTGGAGGTGAGAGGGTGAGGGAAGGAAAATGGAGTGAAACGAGTGAGGCAAGAGGAGCGAGGTGAAGTGAGTGGGAGTGAGGGGGGAGTGGAGTGAAACGAGTGTGGCAAGAGGAGTGAGATGGAGCGGTTGGGAGTGAGGGGGAGTGGAGTGAAACGAGTGAGCCAGGCAAACACCTCACTTGGAAGGCTGATAGGACTCGATCGATAGCACAGCCGTGCCCGGGTGGGAAATCGGATAGCACAGCGGTTGGGCCTCTCTCAGGCTTATGTTCGATATGCATTGATAGAGTGTGAGGTGGTGGTTGGGACTTGACAATGGCGGAGAGCGGCTGGATGGGCGTGGGGAGCAGTGCAGAAGTGCCGACGGCCGTCTGGACCAGCCGAACGGGAATCAAGGAGTCTTCCACACTGTCGTGGTGTGATTGACACAGGTGGGTGGGACTTACAATGGCGGAGAGCGGCTGGATGGGCGTGGGGAGGAGAGCGTCAGAGGCAACAGCCTTCTGAACCAGTCGGACGGGAACCAGTGAGTCCTCCACACTGTCGTGGTGGGACGTGTCGCCCTGCCGCATCTTGTAGCCCATGTCACGCTGCAAGGAAAGGGAGGGGAGGGGTTGAGGAGGGGGAGAGAGAAGGTTGGTATTATGTTGATGCCGGCAGCCTTCTGAACCAGTCGGACGGGAACCAGTGAGTCTTCCACACTGTCGTGGTGCGATGTGTCGCCTTGCCGCATCTTGAAGGACCATGTCACTCTGGATGGGAGGCGGATGAAATGTGGAGTGCGGGGGATGGGCGACGGGGGAGGCGTGAGAGAAGGCTACTGGTGGTCGTGAGAGAAGGCTACTGGTGGTCGTGAGAGAAGGCTACTGGTGGTCGTGAGAGAAGGCTACTGGTGGTCGTGAGAGAAGGCTACTGGTGGTCGTGAGAGAAGGCTACTGGTGGTCGTGAGAGAAGGCTACTGGTGGTCGTGAGAGAAGGCTACTGGTGGTCGTGAGAGAAGGCTACTGGTGGTCGTGAGAGAAGGCTACTGGTGGTCGTGAGAGAAGGCTACTGGTGGTCGTGAGAGAAGGCTACTGGTGGTCGTGAGAGAAGGCTACTGGTGGTCGTGAGAGAAGGCTACTGGTGGTCGTGAGAGAAGGCTACTGGTGGTCGTGAGAGAAGGCTACTGGTGGTCGTGAGAGAAGGCTACTGGTGGTCGTGAGAGAAGGCTACTGGTGGTCGTGAGAGAAGGCTACTGGTGGTCGTGAGAGAAGGCTACTGGTGGTCGTGACTAGGGCGGGAATGAGTGAGTTCTCCACACTGTCGTGGTGGGACGTGTCGCCCTGCCTCATCTTGTAACCCATATCGCGCTGCAAGGGGGGAGCAGGGAGGAGAGGGTGTGGGAATGGAACAGGAACTCAAGAGGCACTTGGACGGGGATTAGACAGCCTTCCCCACTGTCGTGGTGGGACGTGTCTCCCTGCCGCATCTTGTAGCCCATGTCACGCTGCAACAGTGGGAGGTGGGAGATGGTGAAGGGGAGACAAAATCGCTTGAAGTGCTCGGACAGGAGTCAACGAGTCCTCCCCACTGTTGTGGTGGGATGTGTCTCCCTGCCGCATCTTGTAGCCATGTCACGCTGCAATGCATGAGGGGGGGACGGGGGAGGAAGGGCAGCGCAGCACATCCCAGCACGGCAGTGTGGAGGGCTCGTTTAAGTGCCTCAACAACATACCAACCTTCTCTTAAGGGGGGACGGGGGAGGAAGGGTGGGACGAAGGGGAGAGAGAAGGTTGGTATGTTGTTGAGGCACTTAAACGAGCCCTCCACACTGCCGTGCTGGGATGTGCTGCCCTGCCTGCCACATCTTGAAACCCAGGGTTAGCTGAACAGTAGACATGTTGGAATCCATGGATGGACAGCGGAAGAGAGATGGGTTGCACTCGAGTTGGGGTTGAATGGCATGCAGTGCAGTGATTGACGCACCAGAGCAACGAGGGCCAGGGGTAGCTGAACAGTAGACATGTTGGAATCCATGGATGGACAGCGGAAGAGAGATGGGTTGCACTCGAGTTGGGGTTGAATGGCATGCAGTGCAGTGATTGACGCACCAGAGCAACGAGAGCCAGGGGTAGCTGAACAGTAGACATGTTGGAATCCATGGATGGACAGCGGAAGAGAGATGGGTTGCACTCGAGTTGGGGTTGAATAGCATGCAGTGCAGTGATTGACGCACCAGAGCAACGAGAGCCAGGGGTAGCTGAACAGTAGACATGTTGGAATCCATTGATGAGTAGCGGAAGAGAGACGGCTGGGGGAGGAAATGACTACCCAATCCCATGCAGTGGCAATGCAATGTTATGCGCGCACGACTCACCAGAGCAACGAGGGCCAGGGGTAGCTGAACGGTAGACATGTTGGAATCCATTGAAGAGTAGCGGAAGAGAGACGGCTGGGGGAGGAACTGACTACCCAATCCCATGCAGTGCCAATGCAATGTTATGCGCGCACGACTCACCAGAGCAACGAGAGCCAGGGGTAGCTGAACGGTGGACATGTTGGAGTCCATTGATGAGTAGCGGAAGAGAGACGGCTGGGGGAGGAACTGACTACCCAATCCCATGCAGTGCCAATGCAATGTTATGCGCGCACGACTCACCAGAGCAACGAGAGCCAGGGGTAGCTGAACGGTGGACATGTTGGAGTCCATTGATGAGTAGCGGAAGAGAGACGGCTGGGGGAGGAACTGACTACCCAATCCCATGCAGTGCCAATGCAATGTTATGCGCGCACGACTCACCAGAGCAACGAGAGCCAGGGGTAGCTGAACGGTGGACATGTTGGAGTCCATTGATGAGTAGCGGAAGAGAGACGGCTGGGGGAGGAACTGACTACCCAATCCCATGCAGTGCCAATGCAATGTTATGCGCGCACGACTCACCAGAGCAACGAGAGCCAGGGGTAGCTGAACGGTGGACATGTTGGAGTCCATTGATGAGTAGCGGAAGAGAGACGGCTGGGGGAGGAACTGACTACCCAATCCCATGCAGTGCCAATGCAATGTTATGCGCGCACGACTCACCAGAGCAACGAGAGCCAGGGGTAGCTGAACGGTGGACATGTTGGAGTCCATTGATGAGTAGCGGAAGAGCAGTGATGTGTCGATGACCAACCCAAGGCCATGCTGTGCCAGTGCAATGCCATGCAGTGAGTGAGGTGCACTCACCAGAGCAACGAGAGCCAGGGGTAGCTGAACGGTAGACATATTGGAGTCCTTTGATGAGTAGCGGAAGAGCAGCGATGTGTCGATGACCAATGGATGGTCTATCTTCAGCACTGCATGGGATGGCATAGCATGGGATGGGACGGGATGGCATGGGATGAGATGGTACGGCAAGGCTTTGAGGCGCCTCAGGGTTGAGGCATAGCGGAAGAGCAGCGATGTGTCGATGGCCAATGGACGGTCTATCTTGAGCACTGCATGGGATGGGATGACATGACATGGTTGCATGGATGCACCATGTATATGTGTCAACATGTGCATGCATGCATGCATGTGGCACAAGAGACACACAAAGGCTCAGCCTCTCAGGTGAGGTCAGCCTCTCAGGTGAGGTCAAGACGGAAAGTGGTGAGGCATGGTAAGAAAAACAGCAGCCACAGACAGAAGGGCAAACTATCGCACGTGGCAAATAGCAGATAGTTGATACTTTTTCACAACCGAGATGTCAGAAATGGGATGGAGCCGTGTTTTGAGTCGATGACTCAAAACACGGCAAATAGAACATGATTGATACTCGTTCACAACCGAGATGACTTTTGAGTCGACTCAAAAAGCCATCACATCAATCCTCGTCCACAACCTTTGAGAATTCTCAAAAGTCGCACCAATAGAGACTGCAAACACTCAAAAGCCATCAATCCTCGTCCACAACCGAGATGTCAGAAATGGGAAGGATAGGTGAGGGCATGAAGAGTGCCGTGCAGCTTGACACATCCACATGCCATGCAGCATGTGTTCGTCCACGTCAGCAGGCTCACCATCCATGTCACCAGACACGTGGTGCCCCACCAGCACTGTGTTGGGTGTCAGCAGTGCCGCCACGTCACGCTGGCATGCCACGTCAGACAGAGTAGGAGGAAAAGAGGGGGAGTGGCGGGAGGGCAGGAAAGGCAGGAAGTGAGAACTTGGAAGCGATTAGCAATACTTTAGACATGTGCTCATCACCATGTATGTCACATGTTGCCCAACCAGCAATAGTAGAGAATCTTGTTTTGAGTCGACTCAAAACTCGACTTGTCACACACCATATATGTCACTAGTCACATGCTGCCCAACCAGCAATAGTAGAGAATCTTGAAAAAATCACCTGTCCCTCCCCCTCCACCCCCCTCCACTTCTCCTCTCCCCCTTTCCTCCTCGTCCCTCCACACATACAAACCTGTGCATCCTCTAACCCACGAGTATGCGACCTTCTCAAATCCCCCCCCTTTAACCCTGTGATCTCTCTAGTGACTTGTGAATCAGCTCACAAGTCACCTTATGTGTGCAGCAACCACACACACTCCCCCTTAGCACATGTCACACACACATCGCACTTGTGCATCCTCCCACCCACATGTATGTGACCTTCTCAGATCCCTCTTATTATTGTTATTTTTTTCTCAAAAAACACATAATTTTTTCTCAAAAAACACATCGCACCTGTGCATCCTCCCACCCACGTGTATGTGACCTTCTCAAATCCTCTCCCTTCAACCCAATGATTTCTCAAGTGACTTGTGAATCAACCCACGAGTCACTTCGTGTGCAGTGGTAACCACACAAACTCACGACTAGCACATGTCATGTCATGTCACACGCACACACCTGTGCGTCCTCCCACGTGTATTTGACCTTTTTAAAATCCTCCTCCTTCAATCAACCCTGTGATCTCTCAAGTGACTTGTGAATCGACAAGCACTTATCACACACACACACAGAACGCACCTGTGCGTCCTCCAATGTGTCCCTGACCTTCTTGAAATCCTCGTCCTTCAGCCCGGTGATCTCATCCAGTGACTCTTGAATTGGCTCACGAGTCACCTTGTGTGTGTGGCAACCATGCACACTCACGCCAAGCATGTGTTAGACACGCACAACGCACCTGTGCGTCCTCCCACGTGTATTGGACCGTCTTGAAATTCTCCTCCTTTAGGCCGGTGATCTCAGTCACATACGACTTCACTTCCCTCTGTGGCTTCACCAGCCGATCCAACAGCACCTGTAAGGGACGACGAAGGAAGAAGGAGAAAGGGAAGAGGAAGAGGAAGAAAAGAGTGTTGAACAAGAAATTGAACTGCCGTCCTGAAACCCGCCTCCTTCAACCCGGTGATCTCAGTCACATTCGTTGATGTTACTTTTGTGAATTCTCGAAAGAAACATCAGTCACATACCACTTCAGTCAATCCAAAAGAGTTGCTGCCACGTATTGAAACCATGGCACCTACTTGGTGCTCTATTGAAATCTCAAAAGTAACATCACTCACATACTACTTCACCCCCCTCTTGTGGCTTCACCAACCGATCAGCCAAAAAAAAAATTACACTCCATCACCAACAACAACCTCACTTGCCATTCGCATCTTACCATTTGCACTGCACATCACCACACAGCACCATACCACACCGCACTGCACCGCATCTCGCCCTGCCCTGCCCTTGCAATCCACCACACAGACCCGTGAGCTCCACGGGTTCTTCATCGTCCCACCAACCTCAGCTTCTCCCACCATCCCCATCTCACCCAACCACATTGCACCGCACTCCACCGCACTCCACCACGTCTCACCTTGCCCTTGTCGCCGTCCACCACAGAGACGCGTGTCAGCTTCATGGGCTCTTCATCGTCCCACGTCTCACACATCCATCCCCACCACCAACCAGCCTTGCCACTCACAGCTCACCAATGCACCGCACTTCACCGCGCTGCACCACATCTCACCTTGCCCTTGTCGTCCACCACAGAGACCCGTGTGAGCTCCATGGATTCTTCATCATCCCACGTCTCACACATCTCACAGTCCATCCCCACCAGCCTCAGCTTCTCCCTCCCCTCCTTCGCCTTCCCCTTCTCCTTCCCCTTCTCCTTCCCCTTCTCCTTCCCCTTCCTCTTCTCCTTCCCTCCCTCTGCTTCCTTCCCTCTATCTGCCTTCTCATCCTCTTCCTTCTCCACCTTGCTCTCTGCATTTTGATCAGTGCAGACCCAACCCTGGGGGGCGGAAGGGTAATCACAGAAGGAGCAGCAAAACACGGGGTGTAAAAGAGTAATTATAGACACATGAACAAGTAAATATGGGGCGAATAACAGGATGACTTTTGAGGCGCCTCAAAAGGCGACTTTTATCCCGCAATTTTACAGGCGCCCTCAATAATTATAGACATATGAACAAGTGCAATCCTTCCAGTAGTGACAAGGTTGCGCTTAAGGTTGATATAGTACAAAAAAACTATGCTTTTTATGAAGAGCTTCACGTAAAGATTTACTACTTGGTTACACTGAAAGTCTTAAGTCGATTACAAGGATGAACATACACTTTTGAAAGTAAAAACCAAGCTGAATAAACAACAACTTACCTCCATGAATGATGGGAATGTGAACGCCTTCTTGTAGCGGCAGTGGGCGCGCGTGCAGCGAAGCAGCCACTAGAGGGGATACAGGGACGGCAGGATTGCAATGGTGGGATGGGAGGATTGCAATGGTGGGATGGGAGGATTGCAATGGTGGGATGGGAGGATTGCAATGGCGGGATGGGAGGATTGCAATGGTGGGATGGGAGGATTGCAATGGTGGGATGGGATGATTGCAATGGTGGGATGGGAGGATTGCAATGGTGGGATGGGAGGATTGCAATGGTGGGATGGGAGGATTGCAATGGTGGGATGGGAGGATTGCAATGGTGGGATGGGAGGATTGCAATGGTGGGATGGGACATGAGATAGCGAAATGGGAACACAACACGGGTAGGGATGTAGTACACTCACATCCAAATCTACTTGCTCCTGAACCGCGACAATGGAGAATTCTAAAAGAATTCTACCCGCTCTTGAACCAAGACAATGGAGTGAGTTGACTTTTGAGTCGACTCAAAAGTCAACTTGATAATTCTAAAAAAATATACTCGCTCTGGAACCATGACAATGGAGTGAAATCAACTTAGCAAAATCTTACTATTGCTCGCCTTCATCACAACCTCTTTCCCTCCTTCTCACACCATGTCCTCTCTTCTCCTTACTCTGAAACTTGAAATCAAACCATCCAAACGATCGGCTCACCATGATCTTTTTGTTCCTCTCCTTCATCCCATCCTCTTCAACTCCCTCTTCAACTCCCTCTCCTCCCTCTGCGCTCTGTGACTGTGTCCTCTCCTCCCTCTGCGCTCTGTGACTGTGTCCTCTCCTCCCTCTGCGCTCTGTGACTGTGTCCTCTCCTCCCTCTGCGCTCTGTGACTGTGTCCTCTCCTCCCTCTGCGCTCTGTGACTGTGTCCTCTCCTCCCTCTGCGCTCTGTGACTGTGTCCTCTCCTCCCTCTGCGCTCTGTGACTGTGTCCTCTCCTCCCTCTGCGCTCTGTGACTGTGTCCTCTCCTCCCTCTGCGCTCTGTGACTGTGTCCTCTCCTCCCTCTGCGCTCTGTGACTGTGTCCTCTCCTCCCTCTGCGCTCTGTGACTGTGTCCTCTCCTCCCTCTGCGCTCTGTGACTGTGTCCTCTCCTCCCTCTGCGCTCTGTGACTGTGTCCTCTCCTCCCTCTGCGCTCTGTGACTGTGTCCTCTCCTCCCTCTGCGCTCTGTGACTGTGTCCTCTCCTCCCTCTGCGCTCTGTGACTGTGTCCTCTCCTCCCTCTGCGCTCTGTGACTGTGTCCTCTCCTCCCTCTGCGCTCTGTGACTGTGTCCTCTCCTCCCTCTGCGCTCTGTGACTGTGTCCTCTCCTCCCTCTGCGCTCTGTGACTGTGTCCTCTCCTCCCTCTGCGCTCTGTGACTGTGTCCTCTCCTCCCTCTGCGCTCTGTGACTGTGTCCTCTCCTCCCTCTGCGCTCTGTGACTGTGTCCTCTCCTCCCTCTGCGCTCTGTGACTGTGTCCTCTCCTCCCTCTGCGCTCTGTGACTGTGTCCTCTCCTCCCTCTGCGCTCTGTGACTGTGTCCTCTCCTCCCTCTGCGCTCTGTGACTGTGTCCTCTCCTCCCTCTGCGCTCTGTGACTGTGTCCTCTCCTCCCTCTGCGCTCTGTGACTGTGTCCTCTCCTCCCTCTGCGCTCTGTGACTGTGTCCTCTCCTCCCTCTGCGCTCTGTGACTGTGTCCTCTCCTCCCTCTGCGCTCTGTGACTGTGTCCTCTCCTCCCTCTGCGCTCTGTGACTGTGTCCTCTCCTTCCCCTAAGCGACCACATATCGTATCATCCCACCGTGATCGTCTTGTTTCTCTCCTTCATCCCATCCTCTGAAAGCGGCCTCGTCACCTCCCGTTCCTACCTCTGTTGCTGCAACGCTCTGTTACCGTGCCTTCTCCTTTCCCTTAAACAGATATCAGCTCACCATGATCTTCTTGCTGCTCTCCTTCATCCCATACCAGAACTTGCAGCGAATCTCTTTGCCTCCCCCTTACTGTGTGTGTCCCTTCATTGAGAATCCCCAAGCACCAATCAGCTCACCATGATCTTCTTGTTGCTCTCCCTCATCCGATCCTCTGCAAACGACCTCTTTGCTTCCCTCTCCTCCCTCTGCTGCTGCAACGCTCTGTGCTGCTGTAGCAACTGTGTATGAATGGGAGGGGAAACGGGAGGCAGAGGGAAGGGGGAAAGAAAGGAATGAGTGCGAGAATAAGCATGCACTGATGTGGGACATCCTCATCAGTGGGAGAAGAAGCACCAGTGCATGTGAGGCGTTTATTGAGTCGCCTCAACATCAGTGCATGTGCCTCCCTCTCCTCCCTCTGCTGCTGCAACGCTCTGTGACTTTTGAGTCGACTCAAAAGTCAAAGCAATGTGTGGGAGAAGAAACATCAGTGCATGTGCCTCGCTCTCCTCCCTCTGCTGCTGCAACGCTCTGTTCAGTTGCTGCTGTAGCAGCTGTGCATGGCTGCCTGCCCACAGGCTGCTGACTGGCAGGCACAGACGCAGTATGGAAATGCAACCCATGCAGCCAAGCCAAGCCAACCCAAGCCAAGCCAAGCCAAGCCAAGCCAATCCAAGCCAACCCACGGGCTCGCTCACCTTCTTGACTCGGAAGTGCTATGCTGTGCTGTGTGAAATGCAACCCGTGCAACCATATACACACACAGCCATGCGTCCCACACACCTTCTTCACCCGGAAGTTCCCGGCATCTTCCAGCGATGCCACAAACCCCGCCACCAGCACCCACGGCTGTCTGCTGACAGGTTGACAGGCAGGCACAGTGCACCCTGGAAACGCCACCCATGCAGCCAAACCAAGTGCCTCGCTCACCTTTTTGACTCTGAAATTTCCTGCCTCTTCCAGCGATGCCACAAACCCCGCCACCAGCACCCACGGCTGTCTATTCACAGGCTCCCAGAAGCCGCCTCCCACTCCCCCTCCCCCTCCCCATCCCCTCCCCCCCGCCCCTCCCCCAAACCCCCTTCCCCCCCCAACACCTCCCCCTCCGCCCCTTCCCCCTGCTCCTCCCCCTGAGCCCCTGCCTCCGCCCTTGCCCCAGGGGCGCTTGTGGAGGGGAAGAGTTCTCCCCCTGCCCTGCAGCCACTTCCCCCAGTCCCCCTTGCTCCCCCATGCGCGCCTCCTAACAGCATCGAGTGCTATTGCTGCCAGCACCTGTTGGGGAGAATGGGGGAGAGACATGCGAGAGGGGAAAATGAATGATCCTCCACCTTCCCCTTTTCCCCTCCCCCTGCCCTGCAGCCACTTCCCCCAGTCCCCCTTGCTCCCCCATGCGCCCCTCCTCACTGCATCCAGTGCTATTGCTGCCAACGCCTGTGGGAAAGGGAGAAGGGGAAAGGGGGGAGGATGGAGGCGGAAAGGGAGGGGGTGATATGCCCTTGCTGCCCCACGCGCCCCTCCTCACTGCATCCAGTGCTATTGCTGCCAACGCCTGTGGGAAAGAAAGGGGGGAGAGCCACGAGAGAGAGCACGGGCAATCAGCGTCAAATGCTTGCGTGCGGAGGGAGGGGGAAATGGATGATTCTCCCTTCCCCTCCTCCCCCTGCCCTGCAGCCAGCCACTTCCCCCAGTCCCCCTTGCTGCCCCACGCGCCCCTCCTCGCTGCATCCAGCGGTATTGCTGCCAGCACCTGGGGGGGCGAATGGATGGGGAAGGTTGGGGGGGAATAGGGTATAGAGGCTAGTGTTAAAGAGGGAAGAAGACACGCCCTTGCTGTGCTGTCCCACGTGCCCCTCCTCACTGCATCCAGCGCTATTGCTGCTGACACCTGTGGGGGGAGAGTGGGGGAGAGTGGGGGAGAGTGGGGGAGAGTGGGGGAGAGTGGGGGAAAGGGAGATACAAGACGCCCCTTCCTCCGCTGCTTCCCCCTTCATTTCTACTCCTTTGCCCACAACCAAAACACTCCTTTTTTCCCGCCACCAACACCCACACCCACACCCACACCACACCACGCCATACAGCATCCACGCTTCACGCCCCTCAATATTCTTGCTAAACCCTGGACCCCGGACCTCTTCCTCCTGCCACTTGCACCCACGCCACTCCATCTTAACCCCTAAACCCTCTCTCCTGCTCACATATTTCTGTGTCCTCACGGCTCTACCTCCCGTGCAGAGTCTCCGCCACAGAGCCTTAAACCTAAAACCCGCGCAGCTCTTTCCCCCAACGTCCCCCTCCTCCCCCACTTTCTCACCAGCCTCAAGTTCCCCTTTTCTCACCGTAAAATCCTCTTCGTTGCACCCACGTGCCTAGAGCGTTTCTTAGTCACCTCAAACCACCCCACACCCCGTCCCGTCCCCCCTGCCCCCCTCTCTTCTACACTCCCTTCCCACTTCCCCCCACCTCACTCCACTCCCCCTCCCACCTTGAAATCCTCCTCCTTGTACCCTTGCGCCCTCCGCTCTTCCCTCTCCCTCTCCGCCCTCTCCTCCCCCCATCGTCCCCTCCCTCCACTACTTGCCCTGAAGCCCCACAAGCTCCCCCCACGCGCACCTTGAAATTCTCCTCCTTGTACCCTTGCACCTTCAGCGCTTCCTTCTCCCTCTCCGCCCTCTCCGCCCTCTCCTCCCCCCATCTTCCTTCCCCCCTCCCAAATCCCCACACAAGCTCCCCCCCCCCCCCCCCACGCGCACCTTGAAATCGTCTTCCTTGTACCCTTGCGCCTTCAGCGCTTCCTTCTCCCTCTCCTCCTGCCGCTGCGCCTCCGTCATCCCCGCCTCTCTCGCCCGCCTTGCCTCTTCCGCTCCCCTGGCTCTCCCCGCTTCCCCCGCTTTCCCCGCGGGCTCCGCATTTGATCGTTCCGCACGCCCCTTCTTAGCATTTCCCTTCTTTTTATCCTTCGTTACCTCGTTATTCGACTCATTAATCCCTCTCTTGGCGGTCTTAGCGGATTTTCCGAGACGCTTCCTCGACGCTCGTTCCCGCTCCGCGACTAACGCGTCTACGTCCTCGTCTAGAGAAATTCCTTTAAGAATATAACCCGAATCGTCCCCTTCCCCCGAGCCCACGTCGCCATTGTCGTTCTTCCGTTCGCCTTTGGCGGAAACCGCTCCGGCGGACCTCTCTGCCGCGCCTTCTGCCGTCGCTTCCGCCATCCGCGCAACTTTCCGCCGCTTCGCGGAACCAACCGCTCCGCCAACACCTTCTCCACTTCCGCCCGCCTCCGCATTGGCCCCGTCAGCTTTCCCCAAGGAGCTTTTCCGTTTGCTCGCAGTTTTTTCCGCCTTCTGCTCCGCGCGCGCGCGCGGGGACTTCTTGGCGGAGCTGGAGCTTCCCATTATCTCCGCCTGCTCGGCGAGACAGGCCTGCAGTCTCGGCAAATTGAAAACGCGCGACAAAGTGAAGCCTTAGGGAACGGGAAACGCCGTCTCGGCGAAGCGACGCAGAATGTAGCCGCGTGGATGAACCCTTTTGAGAGGGTATCGCCTCGAGAGGGGTTTATGGCGGGCCTTTATGGCTGTAACCCAAAACCCCTGTGACCCGCATTGCAGTATCGTTTTATGATACAGTGTAGTTGTTTTGACTGGCGTTCTCTGTTTACATACATATTCAGAGTCGTCTGTCCTTTAAAAATCAACAAAGAAAATCATGACAAGGCCAAAAAATGTGCGCACGGCCTCATATATCATTGTGAAACACATAATGAAAATCAGATTCCTTTGTAAAAAAATATTTACTGCTTCAAACATCTGTGAAAATAATCATATTCCGTACATTGTAGTTCCTGTGTGATCATTAGAAACCATTTACCGTAATTTTAGTCCTCTGATAAATGAGCGATATATGTATGTGTGTTCATGACATTTATTTAGTATCATGTGCAGTAAACGGGTAGGTGTATCTATTCAAGATATTGTCTTTTGGCTTGATTTGTTGACCCTCGCACCAGATTGGGCTTTTGGGCTCTTCGTTACAAGCAAAATACGCGCATCGTCATCGCACGTCCTCACGCAAAGCCAACAAGAGACTACCTAGGCAAGGCCACCTAAAAGTGGCGGGAACGACCTTCCGTGCTTTGCGCCACCAACCAGCAAATTTCGCCCCACCATCGTACCCCCCCTCCTCCCTCCTGGCAAATCAGAAACACTCAAAAAAGACCATCCACGCCACGTCAACCCTTTCTCCTCCCGGCCGAACCGCGTCCACGCACGCCATTTTCCTGGCCCCCGCGATTCGAGATTTGTTTCCACTTTACAGGCCATCCAACGCCACTGCACATCGCACGGAACGTGAGGGCCATCCTGTGATCCCATCCCCATCCCATTCCCATCTCACCCACCCAGCCAGGCGGACCCCCCGCCCCCACCATCACCTCACCACCACTCCAGCATCACATCACGCGGGGCGGGCTTGCTTCAACCCTATGCGGATGTGTTGTGCTCCAGGGCTCAGGCTAACAGGGTAAATGCTCGTTCGTGACTAAAAATTCAAGGTATGTTTTAGCCAAACTCGGATTTTTACAGGGGACTTTTTTCGCCATCCCTGACTGAATCCGAGCTGTTCCAGGACTGACTCTGATGAATCCGAGACTCCCTCGAAGCACTCGGAACTTTTTGTAAGGCTCTAAACACCTCCAACCTTCCCCAAACTTCTCACCCTCTTCGTGGACTTCTGAATGCTTCCCTCCCGCCCCTCTTTCCCTTGATCAAATTCGGAGGCATCTGTATACTTGCTCTCTGTGAGCAGAGGTCCACACAAAAGCAGCAGTGCGCCAACACACAGAGTTTGAACATCAGCTTTTGTCAGAAGTCTCCTCTCCATAGCCTCGGAACGATCGAAATACGTAAACGAGGAATTTTTAGGCCAGCCTTGACTTTTCCGAGCGGTTTTTCGGCTGACCCTGCGTTTTCAGGGCATTTTTGTAAGGGAGCCAAAACGTCCGAGTTGGCGAAAAGCCTAACTTCAGCCCTGTTGTGCTCTGCTCTACAGTACACCCCCATCTCATCAACTCTGAGCCGTCCCCTTGTTACCAGGAGCTTGAAATGAGCTTTGAGCCGTACCCTTGTTGCCTCTCCTCTCGTCTCGCTTCTCCCGTCGATCGATTTCGGGGCAGCAGGAGATGGGACTAGGCTATTCTCTCGCACACGTCGCCCAGCTGCAGGATTAGCACCCTTTCACATCCCACTGGCTCCTGCTCAAACAAGACCGTCTTGGTCGCTTTCCCTGTGCACTGAAGATTAGGAGGGCAGGACGAAACAAAGCAAAAGCGCATGTTTGGTCATCGGGCCCCAGCGTCTAGCTACTTCGCCTAGGGACAACCAAGGTGTTCGCATTTGCACGTGCATCGGCGTCCCGATTCTGTTCACTCGTCCGACTAGTTGAATCGAGATTCCACGAATGTTGCTAATAGTTTACTGCCTTTAACATGTCTACCTCATCATCGCTGAAGTTAAGGATCCTCCTCTAGCTCTGCTTAGCTCCTACTAGTAGTTCCAGCTATGTCAAGCTGCGCGTTACGGAGCTCCGATATTCTTAGCGTCAGTTTTCACCCCCTGTTGCTTAAGAGCCTCTCTTCGCAATCTCCACCTTCGTAGTGTATATCTAGATCTAGAATAGAAAGTTCTAGTCCACCTTGTTGATAGCAATTCAGATAGCAATTCGGGGTTTAACCACGACAAGAGTAGTGGGCAGTTCTGTCTACCTTGTTGATAGCCATTTAGACAGCTTTATAACGCATACAACTTTTAGCGAGCTTAACAATATGCCGTCGCAGCGACTTGCTCCCTCCCTCCCGCCCGTCACGGAAGGAGACGAGGAGGCGCGATCCGGAGACATTTCAGACTCGTCGACTCTCAGAGAAGACACGTCGGCCCGCGGCGTGGACGCGTCGGCTAGCAAGGGGAACGAAAGCGGAACAAGAGGCGAGAGGGCGGCGGTGCAGAGCGAGGGCGGAGCCGCAGCGAACCAAATGTGCCGCGACGACTCGATGACGTCGACGCCGCGGTCCGAAAAGTCAGAGTGTCGCACGGTGTTCACGCCGAACGAGCTGCTGCAGCTGTGCGACGCGTGGGCTGCGGTGAGTGTCGTTTCTAAGTTCTTGTTTGAAGCAGTCTAGGAAAACTGATGTGAGATAACAAATATCAACTTGGGATTGTTTACTGAAATATTATTGGAGCTTCTTGTACGCGAACGAGTGTCGAATAAAGTCTCCAAAAACGTTGCCGGAAATGCATTCAGATATGCTTTCGAAATGGAAGCGCGAGCTCCAAGGCGAGCAGAATGCATTTTCAATTATGCGTTTACATTTGTCGGCTGAATTGTAAAATTCAGAGTGCCTCAATGCGGGTTTGCGGATGACTCCAGGGGTTTGCCGTGTTTGCGATGCTTGCCATGAGCTCGAGACTAAGGCTCTTGGCAAATGCTAATTACATCGCGGTTTGCGACCATCTCGCCAGATAATTCGATGGGTTTGCCGTGTACCTAAGGCCCTTCGCAAATACCAACATCATTATTATTTTCGATCACCTCGCCGTCTGATTAGATCATATGCGAAATTCTCCGTATCTTACCCTTCGTGCTCGATACTCTCTAGCATCCACAGAGGCACACACGGGGTGTGTTGTTTTTCCACCCTTTTCTCCCAATGACCCACCTCTCTGATTCTCCTCTCACCGTTTTTCACCGCTTCCCACACCATCAGCCATGGGAGGATCGTCGCCCTCATAGCCAATCAACATCGCCCGCACCTCGTGCCTCCAACTCTTCATCGCAACCGTTGGATCTTCAGCGCGCGCTCTCCTGCGATCGCGCCTCACTCTCCAGCATCGGCTTGTCGACCCCATCCCCTGCGCGCACGGCAAGCGGAAGCGGAAGGATCTCCGCATCGCCTGGGCGCGGAAGCGGAGGTATCACCCCGCAACCGAACGCTTCCCCGGGCCTTCTTCCCCCCCACTCCCCCATGGTGTTGCGCGAGTGGGAGGAATTTCTATTCGTTAAGAATGCTTCCCCCTCCCCCACCGCTACCTTCCGCCGATCCCGCCTTGGCGCGGGATCGGGGGAGGGATCGGGGGAATGCGTAAGCGGGTTACAGCTGGACTCTGGCTCCGCGAACAACGGCGGGATTGGCGGAGGCGATCCGAACATTGACCCTGCCCTGCGAAACATTCGCCTGCCGATTCACAAGGTCGTTCGCAGCAGCTGGCCGCGATATCGCCTGCGACGTCGCGACCATTTCGGCGTCGCCATGGAGGGCGTCGCAGAGGGCGACGAGGAGAACGAAGACGACGACTCGTCGCCGTCGTCGCCTGCTGTCGCAGGGGTGCCTGATCGGAGCGAGAGCGACAGTTCCGCGACAGACGCGCCAGGACTAGAACAAGCCGCGTCGGTGGCGGTTACCATCTTTTCCGAAGCTGCCATTGGCTCACAAGCGTCCCACGTGGCAAAATCCGGAACACTATCCGTTAGTCAACGACTTGCAGCAAACGGCTCCCCAGCAGCTGGCAACTCCAGGCCCGTGTCGCGTCGCCTATCCGGGCAGATGCGGCTCGGGGACGGAGCCAGCGGGAAATCCGGGCTGATCGACGGTTCTGCTGGCGATCGGCGTGGAAATGATAGTAGCGAAGGGTTTGTGAATATGGCGGAAGGGATGAGGGCGGGAGGAAACGCGGGGAAATTGTTTCAGCTGCTGGAGCAAGTGGATAAGCATGGGGATTATTTCCGTGGTGACGTGGAGGACCCTGATTTGACGAGCAGCATGGACCTGGACGAGGAGGCGACGGATGACGAACCAGGTAACCCCTGTTTCCGTTTTCGCTATTGATTCCCGAATTTTGTTTTCTTACATACTTGCAAACTTCGCAAATCTCGTTAGCGTGTCGTGTAACCCTTTCGCCAACCTCGTCAGCGTGTCACAACCCTCTGACCCCCACCCTCCCCCGCGTGTTCCCGCATCCTCCAGGGTTCCTAGCGCGGACTGACGTGGCGCGGCTCGTAACGGACGGCACGGATACGCAGTACCTGCCGCGGCTGAACAAGTACTTCCCCTTCGGCGCGTTCACCATCTTCCTAATGATGCAGGTGAGTGATCGTGACAATAACGAGAGTTACATTGCGTATTAGAAATTGGGGGACGTCCCTTTTACTTCCCCTTCCGCTTCCCCTTCGGCGCGTTCACTCACCATCTTAGTTATGATGCAGGTGAGTGTGACAATATCGAAAGCTGGATCTTATAGATGTGATCGCCCGTTTACCGCGCTTTCACGTGATCGCCCATCTCCAATTGGGTGCTAGTTTCCCCGCATCTCATGGTCCCTCACTTCCCCGTACTCCCCCCCACTCC